TAACACGATCCTCCGATTTAATCTTAACTTGGTACGTTAAATCTCTCCAGTGGAAAATATCATTGGAAGATGGTAACGCATTTTCAGCTGCTTCTGTTTCTTTATTTGCTTCTAATTGATCCTTCTGCGAAATCTTTTCATCTGGAATAGCAGAGTTCTCGATATCCTTTGAGGTTGTTGTCGACTTGCGAGATTTCTTCTTTTGGTCTTTCAATGAACTCTTTAAAAATAATGCAACTTCTCCTTTTTGCATGGAACCCTTATTGAATTCAGTTAAAGTGATATATACAAAAAGAAAAAACACTATGAACCCCACAGTAATACCAAAGTTTCTCCACTTATGAGAATTGTAGTATTCATATGAAACAGATAAATAATCGTCTCCATGTAAAACATCGAGGCCAGCCTTACTACCAGTTGCAGCACAAATGCGATGAACACTATTCGTATCTTCATAACTTGGACCGGATGGAACAAATTGTGAACAATCAAAATCACGATCAGTATACTCGTTCGCCATTAATGCTTCAAAAACATAAGCTACTGGATTAATGTAGTTAATCCATCTAGACCATCCTAACATACTTGGAGTAGGAAGAACAAAACCAGCGAAAATAACCATAGCCAATAACAACACAGTGGCTGGTGTCATTGCTCCTGGGAATGAAGTCGAAATAGCACCCAAAGACCTGAATAAATGTGACATAACCAACGTACACATGCAACACATTAGCCAGAAAAAAAAGAATCTACCAGCATCACGTCTAAGATTAGGTAAAAAGTAGATTAAGAAATTAAAAGCAATAGACATTACAAGTTTGGTTGGTAATTCTGTAATAATACCTGCTAAAGCATCAGCGGATGGACGATACAATGCATATTGCTTGTGCTTTTCAACAATTGGTCTTGCTTCAAATAACGACATGATTTCCAATATAGAAGAAAACGCATTGAATAAAACAGCACTAAACAAGGTAGCACATCTATAATAGAGCGTATCTGTAGTAGCACTCAAGTTATAAAACATGGAACCTAGTGTTATACCTATAAATGCTTGTCCCGCGATAGATTGTATTGCGACTGACGGATTACGCTTGGTTCTCAATATGTTTCTACCCATGACATATCTAGTTTGCATGAAGAACGAAACTGTAAATGAAGATTTTGGAGAAATGTGATTAGATTGTCTTGCAACATGCGCTTTGTGATATTCTTCTCCGTGGTTACCACCATCAGTCTTCTGGAAATATTCTTCGATATCTTCAACCAATTTCTTGTATTGTGGAGAGTTCTTCCAGTATGTTTCAAATTCTTTAGCAGTATAAGGAACACTGTTCTCGAATCCTTCTCGAGGAACTCTTTCAGCAGGATTGGTTAACGATGTTAAGAAATCAGCTGTAGTTTGTCTTTGTGGACATTCCCATCCCATGTTGACGAAATATTCCTTCGCCTCATTAGCCTTACCGAAGAAAATTTGATATCCTTCGTATAAAACAACAACATTGTCAAATATATCGTACGCATCTTGAGAACATTGATAAATGGCAATTAATGGTGTAGCGTCTAAAATCGTAGCTGATGTCTTCAATGCTCTAATAAATTCTAGAGCAGTTGCCGAATCTAAACCACGAGTGGCATTATCCCAACATTGAATGTTAGATCCTGACAACGAAACTTCAGCAATGGAAACTCTCTTACGTTCACCACCTGAAACACCTCTCACAAAATCATCCCCAACATTGGTGTTCCTAGTATGCGATAAACCGTATGTGGCCATGTATACTGACGCCATATGCTTGGCATAAGTCTCTCTATCAATGTTACCTCTGTTCTGGGGTGTTCTCATTTTAGCTGCGAATTCTAAGGTATCTCCCACAGTCAAGTGAGGGAAATGGATATCGGTTTCAGCAGAATACACAACATCACCTCTAAACTGATTCTCTATATCTTTTGGAGTTAAACCATCGTACGAAATCTTAGACTCATTTCCAATTTTGAACCCGTATGTATGAGACGCAATTGTCTTCAATAATGTGGAACAGCCAGAACCTGGTCTACCCAAGACAACGGTGACTTCACCCGGCCTCATGATACCATCCATGCTCTTCAATATATCGAAGTAACGAGAAGGGTCATCTTTTTGTAAATATCTAAATCCGTCGGCAAGAATCTTTGATACTCCATTGAAAACAGTGGACTGATAATCTGAATCAGCTGCAACTCCAGAAGCCCTCAAATCTCTGTAAGCCACCCCTAATGATGATGGTTTATAGTACTCAACATCTGAATCATGTA